AAAAGCAGCCTTTAGTGGCCTTCAGCGGCACTTCGCAGCCTCCACACATCTGCAAAAAAAGATGATTATGCACGTTAGCATGGTACCCATACCGCTACCCTTCCCGTTTTTCTGCTGTTTGGGTCTCCTGGGAGTCCATCGTCGCCAGCGCTGGATTCGCTTCGAAATTCTAATGAAAACGTACCCCAGGAGAGGTCGGGGGAGAAGCGGTACAGGAACGTCTTGGTTTTCCCAGGCGCGCTCACCTGGGCAAATGCTGCAGGCGCCCCCAGCTTCCCGCTTCCATCTTCAAGCCGGCGCTTCTTGCGATCTGTCACGGGCGCCTTCGACGGGTGCCCGGCCCCATTCCTATGCTCCCCCCTTCCCTAATTCCTATGACTATGCTTATGCCTATGCCTATGCCTATGCCTATGCCTATGCCTCCCCCCTAACTCCTGTGCCTACGCCTGTGCCTATGCCCCTGCCTGATTGCTTGCTTGCTTGCTTGCTTGCTTGCCCGCTTGCCTGTTTGCTTGCTTACTTGCTTGCTTGCTTGCGCGCTTAAACGTCTGCTTGCTTGCTTGCCTGCTTGCTTGCTTGCGCTTGCTTGCTTGCTTGCTGAGTTGCGGAGTCCAAGCATGCTTGATTCCTCTGATTCCTTGAATTGAGTACAGTCGGGGCGTTGACCTAAGGAACCCTAAATAAGGAACGAGGCCCCTATTTTCCATAAGTTGAACCTCGATTTCCCATTGAAAACCTCAGGAAAACCAAAGGCAAACTGCGAAACAATTAAGGAACACGGAGCCCCTCCCCAACGAAGAGGATTCCTTCTTCAGGGCCCCGACTGTAATCTATTTGGAGTCAACGCTGGCTGATATCATTATCGTCATCATCGTCATCATCATCACCATCATCATCGGCATCACCACCATCATCATCATCATCATCATCATCATCATCATCATCATCATCATCATCATCATAATCAGCATCATCATCACCAGCATCATCATCATCATCAGCATCGTCATCATCACCATCATCATCAGTATCAGAGTCACCACCGTCCTCATCATCATCAGCAGCATCAGCATCAGCATCAGCATCATCATCAGAAGCATCATCATCATCAGCAGCATCATCGTCATCATCATCGTGCTAATCAGCATCATCATCATGACCACCATCAGTAGCATCATCATCATCATCATTAGCATCATCCTCATTTGTCATCGTCATCGTCATCGTCGTCAATACTATCATCATCAGCAGCAGAATCAGCAGCATCAGCATCAGCATCATCATCATCATCATCATCATCATCATCATCATCATCATCATCACCATCATCATCATCATCATCATCATCATCATCATCATCATCATCATCATCATCTCATCATCCTCATCATCATCCTCATCATCATCCTCATCATAACATCATCCACAACAATTTCAGCCTCGTCCGCATCATCATCCGACCCATATAGCATCATCAGCGTCATCTGCAGAAGCGTTATCATCCGCATCATCATCAGCAGCAGCAACAGCAGCATCATCCTCATGGACATCGACATCGACAGCATCATTATCATCGTCGTCATAAGCATCGTCATCATCATCAGCAGCATCATCATCCTTCTCCTCTTCCTCCTCATCCTCATCCTCAGCATCAGCATCACTAGCATCATCATCATCAGCATCATGATCATCATCATCATCATCATCACCATCATCACCATCATCATCATCATCGGCATCGTCATTGCCATCGAATTGTAAATCGTCATCGCCATCGAATTGTAAATCAGCAACACATTAAGCATGATCAGCATCATCGTCATCTTCATCAGCAGCAGCAGTACCATCACAATATTTAGCCTCATCATCAGCATCATAAGCAACAGCATCATCAGCATCACCACCATCATCATCAACATCATCATCGTCGTTGTCGTCGTCGCCATAATCATCATCGCCATCGTCAACGTCGTCAACCTCATCAGGTTAGTCATCCTCGTCATCATCGTCATCACCGTTCTCATCCTCGTCGTCGTCATCTGCATCATCGATGTCATTGTCATCATCACCTTCACCATCATCATGCCCACTTCTCTCCTCCTGCCTCCTCCTGCTTCAACTCCGGCCTTCTGAGCTCCCTCCTTTTCAGACCCCCCTTTTACCACCACCCGGGCGGCGCCCGCGCCGCGTTGGCACTCTGCCATGGAAGGAGCAGGGAGGGAGGCAGGGACGAAAGAAGGAGGAGAAAGGAGGGATGGGGAAAGGGGGAGCGACGAGGAGGAAGAGGAGGAGGCAGGAGGGAGAAGGGAGGGAGGGATAAGGTAGGGAGTGGGATCAGCAGCAGGGCGAGCAGAAGGATGAGTGGGGGGCGGGGAAGGAGGGCGTGGTTTTCCCCTGAGGAGGCTGAGGAGGAGAGAGAGGGGAAAGAATGAGAAGAAGGATCGGATCGGGAGGAAGCGGAAGGGGAGCGGCACCGCTTCGGAGAAAGGGCCGCTCGCTCCTTCAGCTGCTTGTCGCGGATCGCCTGGGCCTCCGCGAGCGACTGCTTGTTCGCCGCCGTCTTCTCCTGCACCTCCACGCGGCGCCCCCCATTCCTCTCCCCATCCTTCTCCACACGACACCACCACCGACTCCCACCTGCGCAAGATGCTGGTCGCGGCGCGCATGGCACCATCTGTGCGGGAGGCGAATACCGCAAGGAGCGACCGTCTGTCTTGCACGGGCCCAGCAGCACTGCAGCAGAGGCCCCGACCACTCTGAGGCCCCGACGACGCTGGGACTGCTGCAGAGCTACGGCGGCACGCCACACTCTTCTTGAGAGCACAAGCCTCGACGGACGTCCCGCTCGTCGCGGGGGTGGAGAAAAGGACGAGGAGGAATTCGGAAGCAGGCAGCATGACTGACCGCAGCTTGTAGAAATGCCCACAACTACATCTCTGCGTACAGCAAGTGCCTGCGGCGACAAAGTCGGCTCTGGCTTCTGCCCCCGCGTTGACCGCTCAGCAATCAGAGACCCGTCTCTTCTTTCAAATGTTTGCTGGCGTGGACCCCAACAGTAAAGAATTGCTCTATGTATGTGCTCTGACTTGCAAGCGATGTGGCCAAATACGTGGTACAATCTGAGGTGCAAGCTGCGTGGCGCAACCACCGTCGTGCAACCCATGCAGTCTGTGCCCACGTGGCGCCAGTGGTGCAAACTGCGTGGCGCCATTGACGTGTGTGGTGCAAGCTCTGCAGTGCAAGCTCTGCAGAGAGCAATCCTGTGCGGCGCGGCCGGAAATCCGACCAGCGCACGAGGCGCCCACGGCACGCCCACGGGCAGCGACCCTGCGAAGTCCCGGAGAACGCCGGCCAGCGCACGGGGCGCCCCCCAGGGCGACCAGGCGCGGCGACTGGGCGACCACCCCGAAAACGCCAGCAGGCGCTCCGGGGCCGCGACGGCCCGCTCTGTGGGAGCGGTTGGTGCGAAGGCGGATCTGCCCGCAAGAGAACAGCTTCCTTCTCTTGGAGGCAGGTCTGCCTTCGGGACGGCTGTTTCTGTTGAAAGGCATATCTGCCTTCGATAGAAGCGGCAGGTATGCCCTTCTTATGTTTATAGTATATCTATATGTAGATACATATATATTAAAATTATCCCAGCAAAGCAACCTAACAGCTATGTGTAGAAGAATATCTGGAAGCATATCTGGAAACGAGAGAGAGAACAAGACGGCAATCGGGTGGCAGAACAAGACGGCAATCGGGTGGCGAGAGATCTGACGGGGACATCCAGTCAGCAAAATGTGGCCCGGGAATGGAGTTCTGGGAACTCGAAGAAGACGAAGTGGCCTACAGTTGGCTCCGGGCATCCAAACTGTGGCCCGGGAATGGAGTTCTGGGAACTCGAAGACCACGAAGTGGCCTACAGTTGGCTGCGGGCATCCAAAATGTGGCCCGGGAGTGGAGTTCTGGGAACTCGAAGACCACGAAGTGGCCTACAGTTGGCTCCGGGCATCCAAACTGTGGCCCGGGAATGGAGTTCTGGGGAGGCGCCGGATGCCTCCCCGGGCGATTTTGCGAGGATGTCCCAGGCGATTTGGGTGCCGCCGGATGCCTCCCTGGTTCCTGTCCGGGTCCCGCCCCGACCCCCCTGAGGAGTCATGATGCCTCTTTTGAGCCCGCTAGAAACCTATCAGCAAAGGCTGTTAGGTAAATATACACACACATATATATATATATATGAGAAAATAGCATAAATATATATATATATACACACATATTTACACTCAAAACAAAACAAAAAAAACAAAACAAACAAAAACAACAACAAAAAACGTTTTCACAGGGAAGGCCCCGCCAGACCACGAGGCGCCCAGTGGCTAGGCCGACTGTGGGCGCCGCCTGTGGGCGCCACCCACAGGCGGCGACTGGGCGAGCACCTGGCAGCCCCCAGCCGGCGCCCGGGGGGCGCGCAGGAGGCCCACGCGCGGCGCACGCGGCCAGAGGCCCCGGAGCTCCCGGCGGGCGCACGCGGCGCCCCCGGGGCGCAAGAGGTCGGCGGCCGGGCGGAAAAAAACGGGAGCCCCCCAGTCAACTGCTCCCTGCCAAAACGGCTACCTCCCAGGCCACCCCCACCCAACCCGCTGGCCCCAGGTTCGGGTTGGGGGGGGGGGCGGGTTCCAGGTGTGTCTTTGGTGGACGTTCACGACGCCCCCCCCCCGGGGAATGAGTGGCAAACTGGGGCCTACGGCTTGGGTTGGGGTGGTTTGTGGGTGGTGACAAAGAAAAAACCCTTAGCGCAAGCGCTGCTTGGGTCAGAACCACCTATCAGCACACCGACATCGACCGCTGCCCAACACTTAACCGGAGGATGCCGCGAAGGCGCCCGCATCGCGCCCCAAACGAACTCTCTGGACAAAACAGAGCGGAGACGCACACGGAGATGGAGAAGCATTGACGGCGCGGTCGCCGACGGCAGAGGGCATCGAGTCACCCGCGCCGCCCGCAGACTCTGCGGCCTCACTGCGGAGGCAACCCGCAGCGAGGCAGGCATGGCCCTCCTCTCCTCCTCGTCATCTTCCTCCACCTCCATCCCTCTCCCCGATGAATAACTCCTCCCTGTCGCACCCCGAGGCCGCTCGAAAGGACGGGCTGGGCGTTTCGCCTGAGACTTCCTCACCATTTATGATCCTAAAGCTTGCAAATTGAAACAGCTTTACAAATGGAGGGCGGTCGGGTTTCAAAATGTGGTTCTCGCCTTAGCGCCGCGCACATTCGTCTTCAAAAAATCGTGTTTTACAAATCAATGGCGGTCCAGTTTCAAAATGTGGCTGTCGCATTAATGCCACGCAAACTCGTCTAAAACATTTGCAAGAGTTTCACGGATGGGAGGCCGCCCAGTTTGCAAATGTGGTTCTCGCCTAAATCACCGCGCGCACTCTCCTAAAAACTTCAAAGAGCTTCACGGATGGAGGGCAGCCCGGTTTCGAAATGTGTCTCTCGCCTTAGCGCCACGAACATTCGTCTCAAAAAAATGCAGGAGCTTCACGGATGGAAGGTGGTCTTTTCAAAATGTGGCCCTCGCCACAGCACCGCGCAAGTTCGACACAAATGCTCGCAGCAATCAAGGGTTATCATGGCTAACGTCCCAAAAAGTTGTTTTGGCACGATGTCAGAATGTCAGGGGGCAACAGTCATTTTGATGCACGGTTTTGCAGACCCTGGAACGGGGTTCTGGCACGATTCAGGATCGTCAACACGCAACAGTCAGGTGTTCTTGCATGTTCAGGATCTTCCAACGCTTGACTTCCAACTGGGTCTTTCCCTAAGTGAAACGTAATCCTTGTAGGGGCCCATGAAAAGGGAACTTGGAGGGAGGGTGCATTGCAATATCGTGAGTGAGTCTTGGGTTTACAATGGTCTTCCTCTTTTTCCTCTTCCTCCACCTCCCGCTCCCCCTCCTCCTCCTCCTCCTCCTCCTCCTCCTCCTCATTCTCGTCCTCCTTCTCCTCCTACTCCTCTTCCTTCTTCATTTCTTTCCATATAAACAACTCTTCCCTGTCGCACCCCGAGGCCAGCCGTAATGGCGGGCCGGGCGTTTCGCCTGAGACTCCCTTACCACTGATGGTCCTGAAACTCCCAAATGTGCAACACCTTCACAGATGGAGGGCGGGTCGCTTCCAAAATGTGGATCTCGCCTCGGCGCCGCGCGCTTTCGTCTTATAACATTGCAAGAGCATAACGAATTGACGATATGTGATTTTCAAAAAATGCGGCTCTCGCCTGAGCGCCGCGCACATTCGTCTCAGAAAAATGCAAGAGTTTCACTGGTTGACGGCGGGTGTTTTCAAAATGTGGCTCTCGCCTCGGCGCCGCGCACATTCGTCTTAGAAAATTGCAAGAGTTTCACGGGATGCGGACAGGTGGTTTTCAAAACGCACACTCGTACCAGAAACTGTTATTTGGAAAAACTCACGCTTGTCAGGACGCAACAGTTATCATTATTCGCGGTGTCACGTTTCCTGGAATGGAGTTCTGGCACGATTCAGGATCGCCAGAGCGCAACAGTCAGGTTGACTCGTGGCGCTGGTGTCCCAGGAATGGTGTTGTGGCACGCTTCAGGATCTTCCAACGCTTGACTTCCAACGGGGCACTTCCCTCAGTGAAAATGAGTCCTTGCAGGGGCCTGTGAAAAGGGATCTTGGAGGGAGAGTTTCTTCCAAAATTGTTGACGAATCTTGGGTTCACGCTGGTCCTCCTCCTCCTCCCGCTCCGTTCTTTTTCCTTATAAGTGACTCCTCCCTGTCGCACCCCCTGGCGTGTCGGTAGAGCGAGCCGGGCGTGGAACCTGAGATGTCCTCACCACGTATGATCTTTAAGCTGAAACTTTGCCGGTGTCTTATTGATTGCGGACTGGTGGCTTTCAAAATTTGGCTTTCGCCTTAGCGCCGCCCACATTGAGCTTTGTGCAACAGAATCACGAATGGAGGGCGGGCCGGTTTCAAAACGTGGTTCTTGCCTCAGCGCCGCGCACACCCGTTTGCAAATGCTTCACACATGGAGGACGGCTCCTTTTCGAAATGTGGCTCTCGCCAAAGCGCCGCGAATACTCGTCTTCAAGATTTACAAGAAAGTCACTGATGAAGGGCGGATCCTTTTCAAAATGTGGCTCTCGCCGTGGCGCCGCGCACACTCATCATAAACAGCTGCAGAAGCTTCAAGGATGGAAGGCGGCTCCTTTTTTGAAATGTGGCTCTCGCCTTAGCGCCGCGCGCTGTCGTCTTAAGGGTTAACAGCGGTTTCAAAGATTCTCATGGCTAACGTCCCAGAAGTGTTTTGGCACGGTGTCGGACTGTCAAGGCGCAAAAATTACGCTGATTCGTGGGATTGAAGTCCAGGGATGGTGACCTGGCACGACGCAGGATCATCAAGACGCAACAGTAACGGTGATTCGCTGCGTTGAAGTCCCAAGAATGGTGCTCAGGCACATTTCACGGTTTTCAAACGGTTTGTTTTGCAACGGGGCATTTCCTCAGTGAAAGTGAACCACTGTAGGGGCATGCGAAGAGGGACCTTGGAAGGAAGGTTCATTGCAATGTCGTTGATGAGTCTTGGGTCCAATGGTCCTCCTCCTCCTGCGCCTCCTGCTCCTCTAACTCCTCCTCATCTTCCTCCTTTATTCTTCTGGCACGATGCCAGATCGTCAGGACACAACAGTAAAGTTGATACGTGGCGCTGAAGTCCCAAGAATGGTGTTCTAACACATTTGAAGATGCTCAAACGATTGTCTTCCAACGGGACACTTCCCTCAGTGGAAATGGATTCTTGTAGGGCCTGTGGGGAGGGAACTCGGAAGGAGGGGTGTCTGCAACATCGTTGGTGCGCATTGTGATTACACTGGTCCTTCCTCCTCCTCCTCCTTCTCCTCCTCCTCCTCATCATCATCATCATCCGCCTCCTCCTCCTCCTCCTCGTCTTCGTCCTCCTCCTCCTCGTCCTTCTCCTCCTCCTCCTCCCCTATCAGCGAACTGAGAGGGTCAAGGCAACACGGCCGAGGCCTCCTTGATGGTGGCTATGAGTTCCTCCTTCTTGGCCGAAAGTGACTCGATGTCGGCAGTGAGCTGTTCGATCTTCGCCTTGTTGTCCTCAATAGCGTTCCCCTGCGAGAGGAGGATGCGGAAGGGGGAGGCGGAGGACAAACGAAGAGAGACGGGGAGGAGGAGGGAAGAGTGAGGGGGGGGCCGGAATAGGAAGAGAAAATAAAGAGAGGAGGTTGGGGGTTCCGAGAGGAGTGGGGAGAGGGGACGGAGAAGGAAGAGATAGCAAGGAAGGAGGGGTGGAGGAGGAGGAGGAGGAAGCAAGGATGAGATGGTGGGCAGGGAAAGAAAGGGAGGAAGGAGGCGGCGGAGAAAGGAGGAGTGGAGGAAGGAAGGTCGCTCTCCAGCTAGGGTGAGGAGAAGGACGAGGAAGAGGAAGAGGAGGAGGAGAAGGGGGAGGAGAGCAGCCCCATGCCAGGAGGAGGGTGAAAGGGACGAAGAGGAGAGGAGGGGATGGGAGGGTAAGGAGGAGAAAGGCGACGCAGAAGAGGGAGGGGAGAGGAAGGGGGGGAGGGAGGGGATGAGGAGCAGAATGGTAGCACCCTCGCGCGCGCCTCCTTCCATCCTTCCTTCCGCTCTTTTGTGTTCCTCCCTTCCTTCTTACATCTCTCTCTCTCTATATCCCCCTCTCTCTCCCCCTCTCTCTCTCGCCTCCTCGCCCCCCTCCTCGTCGTCCTCCCTTCCCCCCTCCTCGTCGTCCTCCCTTGCCCCTTCTCGTCGCCCTCCCTTCCCCCCTCCTCGTCGTCCTCTCTCCCCCCTCGTCGTCGTCCTCCCCCCGTCTCGTCGTCCTCCCTTTCCCCCTCCTCGTGCTCCCCGTCCTCCCTCCCCCCCTTGTGTCGGAGGTGGACGGCTCGATCCCCGGGCGGGAAGTGCGTTCCACAGGGGAGGGACGGAGGCAAGGAGGGAACCAGGAGAAGATCTTCGGGCTCCTCGATCGTCTGCTCTGCAGCCGCTCGCAGCAGGCACGCGGGGGAACGGGGGCCGGGGCAGAAGCCACACGTCCTGGGGCGCGTCGGCGGCGAAGGCGGCACTTGGGCGTGCATGCGGCTGCTCGGCGCCGTGAGTAGAGGAAAGAGAACCATGCACAAACACCGATTCTGGCCAGGAAGGCATATGCACCGATCCTGGGTCAAGGATGGGCGTTGTCAGGATCGGTGCATGTGCACAAGTAGTTCTCTTGGCCCGAGTGAGATTGATGAACTCCTCCACTTCGAGGGCAAGGTGTGGTGGGGGGGGGGCAAGGTCGAGGGCCGAGGCCTCACCGCAGCGATCACGAGCCGCCTCGGCCTCGCGGCCGCAGGGGGGGCCGATGGCGAGCGGCCACTGGGCCAGGGCCACAGGCGCCCGTCGACCGCGGCGACCCGGGAGGCGCTCCGCGCCGGAGGAGCACGCCGAGAAGGCGGAGACCCTGCTCGAGGAGGGCGCCATCGGCAAGGCCGCGACACGTCTGCTGCAGGCCCGAAGAGACACGTCTGCCGCAGGCCCGAAGAGAGTTTTGAGCGCGGGCGCAACGGCGATCGTCACTGTCGTCACTGTCCTCAGCTCTGTCTCAGCACGATTCTCAGCAGTGTCCCACTGTCCTCAGCACTGTCCTCAGCACCGTCCTCAGCACGGTCCTCAGCACTGTCGTCACTGTCGTCACTGTATCAGCACTGTCGTCGCTGTCCTCAGCTCTGTCCTCAGCACTGTCCTCAGCACTGTCCTCAGAACTGTCCTCAGCACGATTCTAAAGCCGCAAGTGTCGTTGCCCGAGTGGCGGCCCTGTCTCTCTGCGCGGCGCTGTCGCCCCAGGCCATGGGAGACCAAGCTGGGCGCCCGGCTGGCGGCGCCCCGCGAGCCTTAGGGAGGCCCACAAGCACTTTGGAGGAAGAAACAACTACACGCTTAAACATAGGCTTTCGGAGCTCCGCGAGAATGTTTGAGATTGGCTCTGGGCCCCCCTGGCGGCGCCTCTGGCGCCGCCCCTAGCGCGCCACGGACGGGGGCCCTGCGCCGATCGAAGAAATCCGCGAGGGAAACGAAAATTTATGCTTACACCGCTTTTTATCATTCGACCATTGCTTAACGCGGGGTCATCCGCCGACTGGCTGGGCTAGCTCTTAGCGAGACGCTCGAGGACGAGACTCGGAACGCGTGCAGCGCCCACCAGTTTGCCGTCGGCAGGATGGCGGACTGCAAGGGGGGCTCACGAAACCTTGGCTGCGCTCCCGCACCAGAATGCTGGGTCGGAGTCTCGCCCGCAGAAACCTTCCCACACCAGCATGTACTGTGTCCGGGGGTAGCCCGCCGAATCCGTCGCGCACCTCAATGCTGGGTCGGGAGTTCGCCTGCCGAATCCGTCCCACACCTCTGGGCGACCCTGACACTGCTATCCCCGTCTCGTTATGCAGGACGTGGCCCGTGGCGCCAGGCTCGCCACCTGGGAGAAGTTTCGGGTCCGCTGCCTCTTGTTGCCGCAGTCGCATACAGCGGGCGGGGGCGGCGCTGCGAGCCCAGGGATCGCTGGGGCTGGGGAACGACCCGTCCAAGCGGCTGGACGCTCGCCAAGAACAGCGACGGAGGCTGCAAGCACAGCGAGGCAAAGACGTGTTCTTCGCGGCACAAGAGACCCTGCTGGGAATGCTCGGAGACGACGACTGGGTACGATTCCGTGGAACGGGCGGGCCTGTCGCCGCGGGAGTCCTGCTCCCCCGAGAGGAAGGGGACCAGTCCATCCTGGACGACCAGCACGCCCTCGTGACTTAAAGAAGCGGCGCTTGAGAGTTCGAGTGTGCTCGTCCCGAGCTCGCTAACAGCACACACACAGACATACACACACACACACACACACACACTTACTCTTAAGTCAGCAGCAGAGGGTCCTCAGGCGCGAGCAGCAGATGGGAGTGTTCATTGCGATCGAGCGTTGTCGAAGGCACAGTGCACAATCCGTGCACACTGCCAAGTGCAGAATGGATGGAGTGAAAGAGGAGCTTGTGAATCCAAGCGAAACGTGCAGCGGCCAGGAAGCCGAGGAGGCGACTAAACTCGAAGTGAACTGAAGCGCGAGCAGCCTGGTGCGAATTGGCGGCCACTGAATCACCAAAATGCTTTCTTAGAAAAAGAAGCGCAATAAAAAACTAGAACGGCTGCCAGACCAGCCGATGCGCGGAATGAAACGCTGACCCAACACGGCAACCAGCACAATGAACTGAAGCGTGACAGCCAGGGGCAAATGCGGCCACTGAATCACCTAGGTGTAACACAGTGAAGCGCAAAAAAATACGCTGTTCGGCAGGTTGGTGGTGTCCGTCCTAGCGGCCAGGCGAAGCAGATTGGTAAGGTGTGTACCTACAAACCAACAACGCAAGGTAACCGCGATGATGGGCGAAGCTGGGCCAACGGCGTATACACACACTTACTGGGCTGCCGTGCAACGAGCCCGTAGACCGCCACGTGAGGCATGCTCATTGTCGCCCGGTTGGTGGGTCCCGCACGGGTCGCCACGACAGCATGCGGGACTGACATGCGCCCGCGAAAACCCGCCTCACTGAGCACCACGCCGCCAAAGAGCAAAGTGTTCCAGCTTGGGACAAGATGAACATACGGATGGGTGTGATGGAAGAGACGAAGTTGGACGTCTGCACACGATACCCCAGCTTTGGTCAGACTGTGTCCGCGCATTGGAGCTTAACCTACATGTACAGCACCCACGGCACTCGCAGACGATCTCGCTCCAACAAAGACGGGGTCGCGGCGGCGCAAATGGTCCTGGACATTGAGTCCGCTACATTCTTCAGCGCAACAGCTTGGAGCCCCTGGTGTTCGAATCGAGAGATCATCCGGTCGTATGACCATGCGTGCGAAAATCCTGAGCAAACCGAAATGTTCGGGACGCTATGGGGGCAGATCAGCCAGCGCCTGCAAACCGGCAGCGCTGAGATGTTGCTCAGCGCCTCGGGGAAGTGAGCGGGAGCCCAGCTGCTTAACTACCGACACCAGCAGTACCGCGGCAGCATCACCGCCGAGACGGCTGCTGTCCTTCAACCAATCCACACCACCACCACAATCTCGGTAACGATGATCCCCGCCTCCGCCAACACGACGACTACAAGGCCTCACGCGGCTACTGGCGACCACTTGCACGACCCACCACCGCATCCACCACGGCGGAATGTTCGACACACATACACACACACACCACCACGACGACCACTACCACCATACCCACGACCACTCATGCGCCAGTCACGTCGACCACCACGACTGAAGACAACGCGACGACCGCCGTCCCTTCCTTCCTTCCTTCGTTCCTTCTTTCCTTCCATCCTGCCCTGCCGACAGGTGTCTGCTGCCCGCGCCACCCTCCTCCTCCTCCTCCTCCTCCTCCTCCTCCTCCTCCTCCTCCTCCTCCTGCTCCTCATCCTCCTCATCCTCCTTTTCCTCCTTGTCCGTCTCCTCCTCCTCCTCCTCCTCCTCCTCCTGCTCCTCCTTCCTCTCTCCTCCTCCGCCCTTCTACGCCCTTTGAGAACGTTCGGTCCGGGACATGAAGATGCGGGTCTGTTGCTCGGATCCTGGCAAAAATTATCCCAGATGCCGGACAGTTTCTATACCTATTGGAGGCTTGGAGCTCCCGAGGAATATTCAAATATTAGTAGTAACGTTATAATGGCCGTCCTCTATGCTCCCTCCTCTATCGTCGCAGTCGTAGCAGGATGCAGTAGCGGTTAGTGTAGTGTGTAGAGTATAGTAGAGTAGTAGTTATGTAGTTAGTAGTAGTTATGTAGTCGTAGTGAGTAGAGTAGTAGTAGTAGAGTAGTAGTAGTTAGTAGTAAGTGAGTAGTAGTAGTAGTAATAGTAGTAGTAGTAGTAGCCGTCCTCCTCCTTCTCCTCATCGTCGCAGTTGTAGCAGTAGCGGTAGTAGTAGTAGTAGTAGTAGTAGTAGTAGTAGCAGCAGCAGTAGTAGTAGTAGTAGTAGTAGTAGTAGTAGTAGTAGTAGCAGTTATAGTGGTAGTAATAAGAGAATAATAAGATTAATAGTAGTAGTAGTAGTAGTAGTAGTAGTAGTAGTAGTCGTAGTAGTA